CAACAAGATTTATGTCTTTTCTTTATTGAGGTGTTTGGTTCCCATGGGGAATTGTTTTAGTCTGTGCCAACTTCATGATGAATTGGGCTCAGAAGAAACGAACTCAGATTCTGGAACTAAGTGTCTGTCTAGTGCTTGACAACAGCACTTGAGAACAGCATCAGCATCACCTGCCCAGGCTCTCCTGCTGGGACGGGAATTCCAGGGATTATGAATCTGTGATCCAGTTATGTGGTACATTGAGAACAGCATCAGCATCACCTGCCCAGGCTCTCCTGCTGGGACGGGAATCTGTGATCCAGTTATGTGGTACACAGTCAGTCAACAAAACTGGAAGGCTATCTTACCATGGCAACAACTTAAGTTGTAGAGATGTCACCTCTTAACCTCCTAAATGACAATTGAGGACTTAGTACACCATTTTTCAATTTTTGCTAGTTATATCAAGAAAGATTATTAAGATATATATATATATATATTTTGCTTTCTGTTTTTTAAGACAGGGTCTTCCTGTAACCCCTGCTGTCCTGGAATTTATTATGTAGACCAGATTGGCCTGGATCTCACAGAGATCTGCTTACCTCTGCCTCCCAAGTTCTAGAATTAAAAGCATGCCCACAACACCCAGATGATAAAAAATAAATTTAGGGGCTACATTTGATTAGTTCTCAGTTATTAGCACTGACTGCTCCAAAACAGTCAGCTTTTCTCAATTCGGGTTGGATAAATGGAATTATACTGAAAACAAGCAACAAATGTAAGCCACTCTACAGAAATATTATTGTATGCTTTTTTAAATTATACTAAGGGAGAAAAAATCCTATCATAGACATAGGAGATATATCTATATTTCCATCGTAAGGACACAAAATGTTTTATTCTCATCAAGTATCTATTTGATAACATTTTGTGACAGGAATCTTACAGAAGGAATGATTTTCTCTGTCTCACAAAGGATTCCATGTTGGAGATGGAGGAATGGCTCCATGGGAAAAGTGCTTGCCATGCAAGTGTGAGGACTAGAGTTCAAATCCCCAGCACTCATGTAGAAGTCAGGCAGGCCTGCTGGCCCACCTGTAATCCCAGCATGCAGGAGGCAGAGGTAGGAGATGCATAGAGCAAGTCAGCTGGCTAGACTAGACTAATGAGCAAGCTCTAGGTTCAAGTAAGAGATTCTACCTCAATATATAAGATGGAGGGCAATTGAGGAAGATGCCCAACATCAACTTCTGGCTTCCACATGCACATGTATGTATAAGCACCTGCACACACATGTCCACACACATGTGAGCATGAATACACACATGCCACCCACACATACACATGCAAAGACAGCATGTGTCCTAGTGATGACCCTAATAACTCACTAACCCTAAGATATTCTTTGTAAATTAGACAGCTGCTGAAGTAAGTGTGTCACATATTTTGGGTGTCTTCAAATAATAGTCAAATTTCATATGAAGTTTTGTCATCATAGGCTATGATTTAACTTTGTAAGTTACATTTTCTCATCTACAGAATTAGAGAACTGACCAATTATTGTGCCTCTACAACCGCTTTAAATTCCTCATCATGGAATAGATAGGCATGTCTTGTTTGAAAAGCAAGAATCTTGGAGGCATCTTCCAAAGGTGGATGGATCAGCTTTCCAAAGGACTCAATAAAGTCTCAGAGCTAAAACCATAAACTTCAAGTATAAAAGAGTTTTTGCAAAGGAGAAGAGAACATCAATGTTTTTGAGCATCTACTATGCAATAGGCATTTTCTTACATTATTTCTTTAGCCTTCATAACCACCATGTGAGTCACTGTTATCCATATTTTGTGCAGAAAGAAATAGGTACTATTCACAGAACCATTAACAGTGTCTCATGAGTCTAAAACAAAGAATATTGGGCAATACAGATACTTTATTGGTGTTATCTGGAAGAGGGCAAAGGACATATAAATATGGGAGATGTGAACAGTAAGTTGACCAGAAAAATTAAACTAAGAATGTACACTTGGTTTGAGAGTAAAGTGTGCCAATCATGGGATTTTTTTTCCAAATAAAGTTATATAGGGACAGTTATGCTTATTCATTGTCTATGGTTTTTCTACATCAGAAAGCAGAAATTATCAGCTGTGACACCTTTCACCTGCAAGTCCTAAAATGTTTATTATCTAGTTCTTTACAGAAAAAAAAAATCTTTGTCCCTGGAAGAGCTATATGCTTAGAACTCCTGCACTGGTACCTACACCCCTCCACTGCCCCCTTTACTGCTGAAAACTCTCCAGGAAAGCTTTGTACTGAACCAGCAGAGTCTACCACATGTAGCTTTAGTCAAGCTTATTGGAACTTCCTTCTCTATCACCACAACACACATTAGTCGTTCATGAAGTATTTGTGGCAAGTGGGACTGGAACTTAATCCACTTTGATCCTTTCCAAATAGCACAAGCTGTTTACTTGCCATATACCTCGTGCATTACACCAGCTTATTTCAAAGGAGGAATTAGTTTCACATTCCAGGAGATGAACAAAGTGTATTTGAAATGTAATCCTTTTATAAAAATTAGAAATATAATTTATGTATCACACAGTTGATATACTCAAAGTCTACAGTTCAGTGGTTTTTAGTATATTCAGAGTTGTGCCACTGTTACCACAATCCTGCAACATTTTCATTATCCTAAAATGTTTGTTAGTATCATAGCAGCCATTCCATTTCCCTCCCAGTTCACCCAGCACTAGGTGACCACTAGTCTTCATTTATAGATAGATGGGTTTTTTATCTGATTGTCACATAAACAAAACTGTACAATAAATGTTGTTTTCTGTCACTTAGCATGCTCTCCATGTTCATCCATATTGTAACCATACTTCATTTCTTTCTTATTACTGGGCAATATTCCATGGTATGGTTAAACCACATTTGATCTATTCATTTAAAAAATATTTTATAATTTTTATTTTATGTGTATGAATGTTATGCCTGCATGCAGGCAAGTGCACCTGTGCCATTCAATGCCTGCGGAGGACAGAAGAGGCTGTCAGATCCCCTAGAACTGGAGTTACATATAGTTGTTAGCTGCCATGTGGGTGCTGGGATTCAAACCCGGGTCTTATGCAAGAACAGTCAGTGTTCTTAACCACTGAGCCATCTCTCCAGCCCCAACCTATTCATTTATTAATGATGGCCTATTGTAGTGCTACTACAAACATTTGTGCACTGGTTTTTGTATAGACATGTTTTCATTGCTCTTATTTATCCTTCAACAGTGCTTAAGAGTTCCAATGACTTTGTGTCCATATCAACATTTGATCTTATCTTTTTTTTACTACTGCCATTCTAGTGGGTATAAAGTGGTATCTCATTGAGAATTAATTTTCACTAATTGGCCTTTTGTATATCTTCTTTAAAGAACTGTAAATTCCAAATTTCCATCCATTTTAAAAAATTATTATTAAAATTGAGCTGTCTTTCTGAGTGATAACAGCTCTTTATATATCCTACTTACATGTTCCTCCCTTAATATATGACTTACAAATACTTTCTGAGTCTATGGGCTGCTAGGGAGTGGGGTTATTTGCTTTTTTCCTTTCTTGGCAGTTTCCTTAGAAACCTGGAAGTTCTTAATTTTTATTATGTCCAGTTTTCTTTCTTCTGTTGCTTGTGATTTTTCTTTCAATTATTTAATACACCATTGCCTAATCCAAACACATAAGTTTTATGCCTATGTTGTCTTCTAAGACTTGAATGACACTAGCTCTAATATTCAGATCTTAAGTTCATCTTTTTTTTATATTTTATTTATCTGTTTATTTTTTCATGTGTATGTGTATATTGCCTGCATGTAGGTAAGTGCACACGTGCCGTGCAGTGCCCATGGAGAATAGAAGAGGCCGTCAGATCCCCTGGAACTGGAGTTACTGACAGTTGTTAGCTGCCATGTGGGTGCTGGGATTTGAACCCAGGTCTTCTGCAAGAACAGTCAGTGTTCTTAACTGCTGAGCCATCCATCTCTCCATTCCCTTAAGTACATCTTTATTTAATTCTTACACGTGGCATGATAGGCTCCAGCTTCACTGTTTGTTTCTGGATATCCATGTTTTCAATTACCATTTGATGAAAAAGTTTTATTTTTCTTCATTGAACTGCCTTATCACATTTTTAAAAATCAATGAACCACCAATATGAGCATCACTTATAGCTTCTCAATCATGTTACTTTTTTATCCTTTTTGATGACGTTGAAAATCGGTTTTCCAAAATCCCTTTTGGTTCATTCATTGGTACTTTACAGAAAGGCAATTTCTGCATTCTCTTCCTGCATCTGAAATTTTGCTGAAGTCATTGATTAAATCTAATGTTCCTTTTGTCTAATGTTGACTGTCAATGGATTTTCTAGGGGTTTTCATTAGATATTTAGGCAAATAGAGTTTAACTTCCTCCTTTACCTTGTGGGCATCTCTTGTTCTTTTGCCCAACTGCCCTGGCTAGACTGGCCAATACAGGTTGAATGACTGACAAATGACAACACTGCTGGTTCCTTTTTCGTGTTAGGTAAAAATCCTTCAAGTGTTTGCCTTAAGGTTTATATAAGCTGCAGGTTTTCTATTGCTGCCCCTTTAAAGACATTCCCTTCTGTTCCTGGTTTGTTACATGTTTTTTGTTTGTTTTTTTGGTTTTTATCAAAAAATGTGCTAGAATTTGTTAAACATTTTCTTTCTACCCAATGAAAAAAATCATGTGGATTATGCATAACTTCATCAATCCCCTTTTCTAAACATTCAATAAAAATGATTTTTGAGTATAATTTTCTAAATAACTCATAGCTTTATAAAAAGACAGAATAGCAGTTTTGCAAAAATTTGTAGATAAGTCAATCTAAAGGCATCTAGCAGAATCAACTTGAAAAATACAAAACTATAACTACATAATTTTTTTTCTGGCTATAATTGTACAACTGCATTTGCTGATGATAAGAAAATATGTTCTTATAAGAAGAAAGAGACACAATAAATTAATAAACGCATGATTCATTGTCACTTTTACATACATACGAAAAAATACATGGCAGACTTATTAAAGTTCCCTGGTAATGACTGGTATCCCCTACTCCAAAAGTTTTATTAAAATAGAGATTTATATTTCAAAAACACCATTCACTTACGTACTCAAAACATATCATGCTTTATGCTTTACAAAGTATCAGATTAGTAAGTATGTTTCCCATCCACAGATTGATATTTAAGTTGCCTGGGTAGACAGACAAAAGCAAATATAATTCACATTTATAGTGTAATTGTGCTTTGTGTAGTATATACAATGCCTTCTGCTTTTATTCGCTCCAATATTGGTCCATAGATCTCCTTCATAAATGGCCCCATTAGGCCTTTGGTTTCAATTTCACCTGAAAGAACAAAAAATGTGTGATTGCCATTTTCAAGGTGATGTTATAGGATAATTTCCACAGTAAGAATGCTCCCAGAAAAGGCCACTCCCCCTGCAGTAAGCTGAGAGTCTGTAAATTGTTGAAGGCCTGGCTGTTACACATTCCTTATTCGCCGATTACTTAGTTAATACTCTGCAAGGAAAAGGGGTTTCATCCTGAATGGAAAGTACAGTTTGGCTCTGGGACCCAAATCTATACATTGAACTATACTACTTTACACCAGAAAGAACAGGGACCAGTGTGATATTTTGGGTACCCATCATTAGCATGGCCAAAACTAGTCTGGGCATTTCCTTAAGGGCCACACTAACTCCTAACCTATCTTTACTTCAGTCTGCTTCCTCAAAAACTAAGTTAAGTAGTTTGGTTTGAATTAGCCACTATGCCACTAGATATGTTTTCTCATTATTTCACACTACATGCTTTGATGTTGTCCACTACTTCTTTCTCAAAGGCTAAATGAGGTACTTGTTCTGAAGTAATGCTGTTGCGTGTGTGTGTGTGTGTGTGTGTGTGTGTGTGTGTGACCATAAAGGGAGAATATGGAGAGCTAAATTTTCAATTCCTTTACAGAAGTCCCAACTTAATATGGTTTGACTTCATGGTTTTTAACTTTTTAATAGTGCAAAAACCATATGCTAGTGTGCACCCTTAATACCAGCACTCCAGAGACAAAGGCCTGTGGTTCTCTGTGAGATCCTGGCCAGCCTGGTCTACATAATGAGTTCCAGGAGAGCTGGGGCTGTAGGAGACATTGTTAAAAAAGAAATGTAATATGCCCTAAGAATAAATTATACTTAGAATTTGGTCATTTCCCAGGCTACTGATATGCTTATGGTAATGTGCTATGATGCTGGGCAGTAACAGTGAGCCAAGCTGCCTATCACCATCAAGTCACTCCATTAAACAGCTGATAATCTAAAGGCTCCTGTGTTGCTGAACTATGCTTTTCAGTAGTTCAGCTCTTCACCTTCACCTAGTGTATGTTTAACTTATAATAAGCTATTTCATGTCTGAAATATTTGTTCAGTGCTGATAAAATGCTAAGATACAAAGATTAATAAAACAGTCTATAATCCTGAGGATCTAAAAATGAGTCTCTTCTGATAATTCAGAGCAACCATTCCCAGAAGAGCAAAATCATGAGGAGGAAAGGAAAAGATCTACCATTCCCTGAAGAGTCCTCTATGTGGCCATGGTCTTCTATGTTTCTCATGAAATACCACCATCCTGTGTCAGTGATGACATGGCCTCTCTCAAGATAAGACCCTGGCTCACAGGTTCTGAGCAATCCCTACCCCATCATTCTGAAGTCCTGTGACTGAGCTGGGAAGAAATCAGGTCTCACATCAGGAGACCTGATTCCTTCCTCATACGGTTAATCCCAGTCAGGTATACTCTTAGATGGCTCACTTTTAATAAAGCCATGCTAACTCACAAGTTTGCTATCAGGTGCTGAAGTTCTTGAGTGTGAAAAGGAAGCAGACTCGGCTCTGATGTGATCAGAACTTACCATCAAGCAACATTTTGGCTGCCATGGCTGTGGGCAGCCCCACAGTTTTAGCCATCGCTGAGAAACCATTGTGGTCTCCATAAACTACGAGATCGATGGTTTTATTTTCTAAATGCCCAGAAGAATGTCTGATTCCAAAGCTGTCTCTCATCACAATCATATCTTTTTCTTTAGGACCTTAAGAAAGACATTTTAAAATGTTGTCATTATGACTCATTGTATTTTGCCTCCTTTGCCTTTCTCTAAAGCTCCCCATCCAATTACATATGACCACTAAATAATTATCTATGATGCTTTTTACACCAAAGACCAAATGAAAACCTTAAATAATTAAAACTCTGTTCATGTTCCTTTATCTAGTATCAATAGCTTGGTAGGTGTCATAAGGTCACTGCTCTAGAAACCACACACTTCCAAAAATAATCCTTTAGGGGCTAGAGAGATGGCTCAGTGATTAAGAGCACTTGCTGTTAAGATGCCTTCCTCCAGTTTCCATGGGCATTGCACTCACATGGTGCAATTACATATAGGCGAAACACTCATCCACATAAAAAAACAAAAATAAGCTAATAGACATAGTCCCTTGTTATTTATCTAATAAATGTAAAATGTTTTTCTTTTTCATAGTGCCTGATTCATTATTTACTAAAAATTTTCATATTATTTCCTCCGAAGCAGCTACCCAAGAGTTGTTTCCTTCTTCTCAGCTGATCCCTTCTTACTGCATGGGTCGAGCCCTCCAGTTTTGTCCTCTGGCCAAACTATCTTACGATTCTTCTTCAGTGGTGCTTAGAAAAGACCATGGCCTTACCATAGGAAAGTTTTGATGCTAAGTGCTTAGAGAGTGCATCCACAATGGACTCTGCCTGAGGGACTTGCTCATCCCCAAGTAAGCCCAGCCTGAAAAGCACAAGAAGCCCTGTGTTAGTTTACCACAGCCTGCACATGCTGTCGTCTGGGAAGCAGCGAAGACTCCTGGTCTTAACTTGAAGGGGCTAACTCACAAGTTCTAAGACTCTCCTGAACTATAAAATTATGGTCATGGAAACTTCAGTATCTCCCCCCACACTCTCCCAGACACTACATCACTAAGCAGAGCAGAGACAATGAGTTGCAAGCTTATTGTTACAGAGGGTTTTTCTTTGATTGCTTGTTTGTTTTAGTCTTTTTGAGACAGGGTCTCCCTCTAACCCCAACAGGTCTGGAACTCACTATGTAGATCAGACTGGCTTTGATCTCATAGGGAATCACCTGCCTTTGCCTCCACAATTCTGGCACGTGCCACCACGCCCAGTGTTATGAAGTTATTTAAGAGCTGATCTACAGATTAGCTACCCCACATTAAGGATACTTATTTGTACAGTGCACAATAGTCATATGAATGAAAATCCTACTGTAGCTGGGGAATCTGCTATAGGAAAGGGAAAATATCCTAGTTAGTTCAGGAGCTGAATTTTCCAGTTTCTAACTGCCATTGAGTTTCTTCCTTTATCTACTTTTTGTTTCAATGTAAAGACAATATCTCTTAACTGCCCTACAAAGGCCAACCAATGAGCACTAATTAGCTAATGAACATCTAATTAATCAAAGACAACCACAAAATGTCTGGTGTATCTTGATATTTTTTTGACCTGAAAGGTCCATGTCATCCTTGGTCCAACATGTTTTGCACTCAGTGGAAGGAAGGGTGCTTACCATTCAGCAGCCTCCAGCTGGGTACTGTCCCCGCCCAACTTTATAAGGGCAACTTCCTTAAGCGTATCACATGAAGAAGAGCGGGAAATACCAACTAGGTCACAGAGGAGTTGTTTCTGGTTTGAAAAATAAACATGAAAATTCTAAATACCTAAGATAGTAAGACACTGGTTAGCTAAGAAATTATTCTATTAAGACATCAGACATTAAGTGGACCACAAAAATTTGTTAGAAACTATTGAAGGAGAAAATTAATACATAACTATATGAATATATATACATGTGTGCATATCTATACATTCATAAATTCATGGGATTCCAGCATATTTTAACAATAAAAACTCAACACTAAAAAGAGGAGACAAAAACCTGCTTTCTGCCTTTCTATGTTTTCAGCATCGCTCCCCCCACCCCGCTCTGGCAGTCAATTTGGGGCAGGTTAAAGGGGAAGGGGCTTACTTCTGTGGTTACCCATGGCAACCAGGGTTCTTTTGTAGTTCTAACAGATGAGAAAGACTTTGCAGGGAATCACATTTCCAAACTTGAAGAGTAGCCACAGCCTTTTCGGCTTTCTGAACAAAACTTTTTCCAGGGCCACCAAAGGAAGCTAGGCTATAGATCAGAAGTCAACCAGGCCCAATGTGGCCCATCACCTGTTCTTTAAAACAAAAGTTCCGTAGAAAACAGTCATCCTCATGCATTTATGTATTCTCTTTGGCAGTACTAAATCGTTCTACAAAGACTGGCCTACAAAGCCTAAGATATTTATAATCTGAAGCAGCACAAAAAAAAGTCTGTGGATTCAGTTCTAGACCATAATTTCCAACATCCTAGGACTACCCCTAAGAATGCCCACACACATTTTCCCAGTCCAGCTCCCTCAATGCCAGATTCTACAGCTATTTGCTCCTGTCCAGCAAGTACACTCATGGCAGGTATCACTGGATCTGAAAGGCTCACAGATATACAGAAAGTTGAGTTTAAAATGTAATTTCTTGGGACTGGAGAGATTGCTCAGTGGTTAAGAGCACTGACTGCTCTGGCAGAGGGCCTGGGTTCAATTCCCAGCACCCACATGGCAGCTACAAACCATCCTTAACTCCAGTTCCAGGGGAATCTGAAGCCCCTGGATTCTGATCTCTGTAGCATTGCACGACATTGGGCAGACTCACATACATGCAGCCAATACATTCATACACATAAAATAAAAACAATAAATAAAATATTTTTTAAAATGTAATTTCTTTTCCCCCAGTGATGAATTTCTGGGATTTTGTTGAAATATAGGCACATTGGTTAGTATAAGCTAAATGAAGGACAGGTAAGTTTGGCAGTTAGTGGGAGCTAAAATTGGCATTCAGTTATAAACCCTAAAGTCCCTTCGAATTCTGAGATTCTAGTATTTTGGTTTAGCACAGAAATGCCCAAATACTTTGTAACTGAAGATTGCTACTCATGATCATAAATGGCCAAATGAGAGAGAGAGAGGATTGGCAAGATCACACCAGAATCTTCCCAATTATCACACAGAGAGTCCCTATCACCACTTACACAACTAGAAGATTCCACAGTCCAAAACAAAGAATAAGAGCATCTTCTTCCAGGGGTTAGGGAATGATCATGTGCTGCAAGCACAGGGGACAGGCCAGGTGTGTCAGCCTGCCACTTCTCCATCCTCCTAAAATGGTGAAGGGAAGGAGACTTTCCATTCACACTCACCATCCTACATCACCCACAGAAAGGATCCTTTTGCTGGCCCAAAGCAGAGCTCACACCTGATCATTTCAGAAGGTGCTGTGTTCATCAGACAACTGGGAGTTTTGGAGTGACTTACCCAGGTGAGAGGATTGGCCTCTGGTCGAAGGGCAGGGTATGCTTCTCTGTTGATAAGACCCAGTTTTACAAATCCATTCAAAGCTTTGGAATATCCCTGAAGCAAGAATTAATAAATAGCATATGAAAATCTCCCTCCAAAGAAAAAATTTTAGCTTCCTTTTTTTTTTAAAAAAAAAAGTGAGAGATCTAGTTTTATAACTATCTTTATAACTAATTTTGGAAATAATTTTCACTGCTGGTATGGATTCTCCCACCTCCCAGCATGGACCAAGGTTAACAGTGTCATAACAATTCAACTGATTTACACGGATGACTTTTCAAAATGGATCTTTTTTCTTTTTCTAAGTATCATGTATGTTGTATTTTCTGGCTGCAAAATGTGTTATATAATGCAGTTCAGCAGAACATTACTTAACAGAGCAGTCAGATTTATTCTTTCTCTCCTTTTTTTTGTTTTTTGTTTTGTTTTGTTTTTTTTTTTGCAGTGCTAGGGATCCCATCCAGGACCTTGTGCATGCTAGGTAAGCACTCTGTCAACTTCTCTATACCTATTTTGCTCTTTCTTATGACAGAAAGAGGAACTTACAGTGATAATCTACATCCCAACAACAGGGAATCCATTCTACTAGTGACAATCCAGGTGTGTAGGATACATAGGGGGAAGGAAATGTAGGCTGCTATGTTAGGACTCTGTTACACTGGTTTCTGAGTTTGATCATACTTATAATTTCTCATATATGATAATAAATATGTACTAGACATTTTTATTTGGGCTCCTAGAGTGAAGTCTCCATTTTGTGGTTAGAAAAGCATTTCAGAATTGCTTTGGGGAAGTCCTCCTAATCCTAACCCTTTCCCCAGCCTCAGCTCATATGTTTCAGATGATACTATGACCTCATACCAAGCTCTGTAGACAAAACAAAGGCCACTAACCTCAGGTATAAATCCCAGCTAACAAGACAAAACTTACACGTTTAGCTATTAGAGAAAGATACAGCCTGTCATTCCCAATGGATTTGAACCTAATGGGCCGTAACAGGAGGGTGGCACCAGTCAGGGACTACGTGGAGCTTGAGACTGCAGTGACTCTTACAAAGCAGAGAAAATGAATCCCCAAATCCAGTGATACCTGAAGTTAGCCTCCCACCTGCCCCAACCCCTAATGAGTCAATAAATTCTCTTCTGCTATTTTGAGTTGAATCTCCTAACACATCAATGGAAAGATTTCTGACCAGTGAATTGTTATGAAGGCAGAGTCTTATGACTGTACAAGGTGCTTAGAATAAGTAACAATTCAGTGCTCAGCCCTAAACAAGACCTTTCTTCCATTCCTCTAAGGCTCAGGAAACACTGCTGAAGAAGGTGGAAAGAACAGAAGACACAAAAGCAGGCTTTGAAATGCCATCTTCTAGATGCAACAAAGCCATTGCAATCACAAAAACTATAAATAAATGACTGCACTAGGCCTACGCAAGAATAGGCCTGTCAGCGACCAGGATGGGCCTGGTTGGAGGAGGGACTCAGGGAACACCATTCCTCACTGTCTATTTTCTATGGATAGATTCAGGGAAAAGGGGAGTTATCCCCAATGGTTATATACCCACTAGTGACCCTGCCAGGTTCCAAAGAATTGTCCCAATCTAATGGTTACACAGATGGCTCTGACTAAACCAAATGGGTCATACAACAAAACCACATAATGAATATGAGAAAGGGACAGATAAGGAGGAGGTAGGGCTGGTAGGAGTAAGGAATTATGGATCAGAGGGGCTATGTGGAAGAGCATAACCAGAATGCATTATATACACATATAAAATTGTCAAAGAACTAACTTAATTTTAAAAAATGAATAAAACTTCTGAGAAAAATAGATTGCAACTCAGATTAATAACCTTAGCTGTTTTGATTATTAAACAATTAAGCATATACACTATTTATAGAAGAAATAGTAATGCATTTAAAATATAACCACTTACCTTGTATCTCAATGTCCCCCGCAACAAAGTGTGGGCAGATGGAATCCCATAAATCTCAGCGTATCTGGTACTGTCTCTGTTAGGATAGCCTTCCAAGTTCAGGCCTGGGAAGTAGTCCATGGACGTGACTGCATCGAGAAAGGAGATGCCCCCTGCCACATTCACAACCTGAGGAACATTGGAAAGGCAACTGTGGAGTCACAGCAGCTTGTTCCCTCTGGCTTTATCTGCACTGACTGTACAACAGAAACTAACAGAGCTTTGAAAACATAATGAAACTACTGCATTCAGCTTTGGTCAAGCTTGCAATGTTACACTTATGATAATAATTTGCAAGGCTTTTTTTCCCAGACGTTCATGTCCTAATAAATTTTGGTAAACAAAAGTCTCGTTTTCAATTTGCTCTTGCTCCTGGTTAAAATTGTGGCATGTGCTGTTAGTTTGCTTTTTCTTTTTTAAAGGTGCTAAAAGCAACAGATTCTCTTGGTGTGTGTGCTGGAGTGACAGTGACAAGATTCTCTTTCCTTACTCTCACATCTCTTCTGAATGTCACATTGGCACTAGTTTTGAACATTTCACTCAAACAAGTAGAGTTTGTTGAGTGATTGAGTACCTACTACATATGTGCCAGAGATTACACTAATTGTAGAAGGAATAAGAAAAGCAGTGAATGAGATGTAATTCATGCCTCTGTTCACTCTTCAGTCATTGGAAGAACATTTACTAGATGTTTAGCAACCACCAGAAACTGTATAAAACTTGAAGTGTGTGTTGGGGAGTGCTGAAGAGGGAGCAGAAGGAAGTCTTCCCTTTGGGGAAAAAAAGCCATGGCTATACAATGATGCTTAAATAAACCTTACTGCTGGTAAGAAGCTAAACCATTGATTCCCAAAAAGCCTTCTTCCCCTCCCCCAACACTCATTCAAAATGCAGAGACACAGTTTGGTGTTTAACTTTAACTAAAGGATTAAATTTGTTTTTAGTGCTGGAAGTTTGTGGCTGTCCTTGAGATAATGAAAAACATTCTGGAATGATAAAATTAGGGCTGAGACTGCTGGGAGGGATGGACTTTGCCCTGCTAGAAACAATTTTACCACATCTCTAAAGCTACACAGGAGAACACTGCAAGAGGGAGCTGTCAGGGTTCAGAGAAAGTCTTCCAAAGAAGCCTCTGGTTGAACACAGTCGTGCCCAGAATATATTTACAGAGGGGCTCATCTGTGCCTAGGTGTGAGAGAGAAAATGGAAACCAATTTATACATGGCTGAGGCCCCAGGAGGAAAGGGCTACATTGACTGCCACTGAGCAAGGGGTAGGTAAAGTCTTCTCAACTGGAAGGCTCATTTGCAGAGCACCATCTTGAAACCCAACAGGGACAAGTCAAAGAACGTGAGGAATGTTTTCCATCTAATTTCTCATAAGTCCTTCCGGATTGCACCATTTTGTACTAATTCACTTTTTATTTTAAATTTTTAATATTTTATGTTATGTACATGAATGTTTTGTCTGCATGTGTTTAAGTGCATCACATGTATGCAATGCCCACAGAGGCCAGAAGAGGGCATCAGAACTGTAGATACAGGCAGTTGTTAGCTGGTTCTTGGCTACTATGTGGATGCTGAGAACTGAACCTGGGTCTCCTGGAAGAGCAGCCAGTGCTCTTAACTGCTGGTCCATCTCTTCAGTCAGCAGCACTGTACTAATTTTTAAAAACAAATTTCTTCTAATAGGTTTCTGGGTTTTGAAAACAATCTAATAATGAAGCCACATGCTGGGTCTCTGAACCTATCTCACCTCCATAACCTATAGCAATTCTAAAGCTCTACTGCTTTATCTGAAGTTCAGGAAATGTTTTAAAGACAAATTCATGCCTGGCATGGTTATACACACCTGTAATCACAGTGCTTGAGAGGCTAAGACAAGCAGATTGCCAAAAGATCAAGGCCAGCCTAGACTACAAAATGACACTTGTCTCAGAACAAAAGAAAAAGAAAAAAAGGAAAAAAAAGAAAAATAGAAATTATCAAGCAGAAATAAATCATCTGGTTCCCTGTAATTCTTGTGAATAAAATCAAGTAACTGAAACTGGCAGGGATTCATTTAGAGAAAGCGATAGCTAATCGACCTGATGCAAAGCTACCAGGGTGGGTGGGCAGTCCTTATCATTTGCTATCAATTTGGCATTGTATTTCTAGTGCCACTGGTTCAAATCTAAGTCCTAGATATTAATAAAATAAATAAATAATAAAATATTTTGCTCAATATTTTAACAACATGAATGAAGACAGAAAAATGCACTTATCCAGTTTGCAGAGATTATGCATCGCTTTCTGTTGGGATGGTGCTCATATCCCAGACCTGTCGAGGGCTTCTCTAATGCCAATTCTTTTTCACACACACACACGCATCACCCACCTAATGACACTCATAGTCTTATATCTGAGAACAAATACTCAAATACTCAAAATAAGCTTAATCACTAAAGTACTGTGGAATTTAACATGGTAAATATACAAGGTGTCACTTATCCAGGACCTCCAGTCTTCCATGCACCTTATGTGTTTACATTTATGCAATAACACACTTTTCAGGGGTATAAACAGGATGTGAGAGTCACACAGAGGCACATTTGAGCCTGTCTACCTGGCCCGATGCCTGTGTTCTTTCTCCTGTATCACCCGGACCTCTTAAGAGTACTAGTGACTAGAACTCCCCACAAGAATGTACAACAATGAGATGTGTTCTAACTTGGAGACTGCTTTCTAATTGCTAGAAAAGTTTAAGTCTTCAACTTGAAGCTGAAGTAGAGAGGTCACCTGTCTCCCTCATTATAATCTGTGACTTACTTAAGGCTTGCTCTGTGTCTGAGGGTGACAGTGACAGAAGGGGATGATGGCAGTGAGGACAGAAGAACAAGAATCTCAGAGAGGATTTAAGAAGTTTAACAATCAAGGTTTCCAGCCAGACTGAGAGACTTGAATTACAGAGTGAATTATATTTCCCAGAAAATTCTTAGACACAAACAATCCAAGAATCTAAGTGTCAGACACTCTGAGTTCAGACAAAAGAACAGTAAACAGAGGCTGGAGTGGTCAGGAAACTCTCATCTCTGAGAGGAATTCTGAGCAAGACCTTGAAGAAAGTATCATTTTAGCAAAGAAAAGATAAGCGTTGTGTTTTCTCGTCAAATCTTCCAGTGTCAAGAAAAAGCAAGAAAGCCCTTCGTTTTAGAAAGCGAATTCAGGGTGAAAGCCGGGGACCGGAGGAGGGGGGAGAGCTTCAAATTCAACAGATCTAATTCTTCTGCCAGAAAATAACCTGTTGCTTTTTCTGAGCTCCCGAGAGCACAAATTTCTTTCTGTAGCTAATATTTACTAAAGACTTATGGAATGCATAAGTCTGCTTTGGACAGATTACAATGTACATGAGTTCAACAATTCACACTACAAGAACTCTGCTAAGTCAGTATTCTTATCGTACTTCTCAAACAAGGAGTCTGATATTCACCCAGCCAGTGGTGACAGAACTAAAGCACAAAGACAGGCCAACGGCGTCCAATGCCTTGCTCTGCCCCTAGGAGCACTATACTGGCTCTGCCATTCCTGCCTTCCTCATCACTCATATGCCCTCCTCAACAAAAAGCATCTTGCCAAACTGAAGTGAGCACTTTTCAGCCTTTACGTATTAGTGTAGAGCAAATATAGACCCGTCTCCTTCTAGCCAGAGACTACAAAAGGTGGAGGGGGCGATTGACAGGCAACAGGAGACAGGATCAGCATGTTTTTTTGTTTGGTTTTTGTTTGTTTTTTATTATTATTATTTTACATGTATGCGTGTATTGTCTGCATGTAGGTAGGTGCACCCATGTCAGGTGGAGGGGGCGATTGACAGGCAACAGGAGACAGGATCAGCATGTTTTTTTTGTTTGGTTTTTATTTGTTTGTTTTTTATTATTATTATTTTACATGTATACGTGTATTGTCTGCATGTAGGTAGGTGCACCCATGTCGTGCAATGCCCACGGAGGGCAGAAGGGACTGTCAGATCCCCTAGGACTGGAGTTATGGACATTTTTTAGCTGCCATGTGGGCGTTGAGATTCAAACCCGGGTCTTCTGTAAGAACAGTCAGTGTTCTTAACCGCTGTGCTATCTCTCCAGCCCCAAGATCAGCATGTTAAAGGATTGTGTGCTCAGTATAACATCACACTGAGATTCTGGCCCAAGTCTTCATGATTCATAGAACTGCAGAACAAGGTAGAATGTGGACCTCACACTTGCCTGGCCTTCATGACACTGGGAAGGATGCCAGCAGACTCAGGGGTCCCCACTTCTCATCCGGAAACAGGCAAAGTATCATTCCAGCGTCCTTCTTGCTTAGTAATGCTTGCACTCACCTGTGGCTCTCTCACCACTAAAACCTTTTTCTCAAGTTCAGCTGCATGTTAAGATCACTTGGGGAGATTTGAAAAATCTACAAAGTCTAGCAAATTAAAATCTTTGGGAATGAGGCTCGGGTATTCCTACTTTTAAGCTCCCCTCATGATTGAATGGGTAGACAGGTCTATAAATGGTGCTGACTATCATAGGCATGAATGGATGTGACTGACAGGAACATTCATCTTGTTTCTTAGAAAAATCTTTCAAATACACTTCATGATTGCTAACTATAGTTGCCCTGTGCATCACAAACTCATTCCTCCTATCTAACTTAGCAGTAATTTTATACCCCCCTAATCTTTCCTCATCCCCCTCTACCTACATATTAGCTAGAAAGAAGAATTTCAGATTGTCTTACTACAAAGAAACGATAACTGTCTGAGATAATTGATTTGCTAATTACCCTGATATGATCATTACACAATATATTCCTGCACTGAAGTGTTACGTTGTATATGTGTGCATATATTTGGAGCCACAGATATAAAAACATTTTATATTATGAATATTAGAAAAGTCTTTCTAATGTATGTCTTACTCATCCTTTCCTGCAGGGTCAGGACTGGGATAAGGTAAGAGAGATGCCTAGGACACACATTTCAAAGAAGAGCCCTAAGTTTTGACACACTATCCTCCCATTAGGAAGTCTTTCCTCACAGTTAAAGGCATAAACTATAAAGTGAAACAGGTATAATTTGGATGCTGGCTTTGCCATTTGCAGTCTCTAACTGTGGCTGCATTATCTGGCTCACTACACCTGTCTTCCCTCTTATAACCTTGCTCTATCATGAGTGGCAGTGTCCCTGCCCGAATGGCAGCTTCCCATCCCACAAAGCTGAGCACATCCTCTTCCCTATTCTACTCCAATCATGTCCCATCCTCAGTCTCTTCACCCAGGCCAAGGCAACTGCACTCTAATCTGCATTGCTGTGGCACTCTGGTCTGTATTGATGGTACCAGTACACTTTGGATATTCTTCCATTTGGATTATAGTTATTATAGTTATTTATTCCAGTTTCTAACCACCCTAGCATGAAGCAACCTGGGGAAAACATAGCTTTGGAGGGGCCACCAACATGGCTCAGCAGGTAAGGGCACTTGCCTCCAAGCCTGATGGCCTGAGATTGATCATCAGAATGTATGTGGTGGAAAGAGAGAACATGCATCCACAGTTGTGCTCTGACCTCCACATGTGCTCCATATGCATGGGCATGGTTTGGGATGTACACACACACACACACACACACACACACACACACACACAATAAACAAATAAGTAAATAAATGTTTAAAAGAATTTTGTAAAAGCTTTTAATTGAAGCCAGGTTTGAGTCCCAAATGATGGCCCTGGCCATCTTCCCCATGCCTTAGTTTCTTAATTATAAAATGATGAATATAATATTAAACTCTCAGAGCTCTATGTTCTGTTGCACAGCATATGGGGAAGAAATGTTAAATTTTCTCTGACAAACCAAACCTTCCATGCAGAGCGCCAACCGTGTCTAGTTGTGAATTCTCTTTTTAGGGATGTCAATCTGTTAGTATGACATCCTTTGGTGCCTAGTCCAAAATCTAACTCTGTATGTGTCATTCTGAAATTGCTTGGAAGATAAGCAGCATGATGTAGGCAGGAAAGGAGAGAAGCGCATTTTCAGAAACAACCTAGAAGGCAGACGGAAGAATGAGCACAGGACTTGCTGGAAACAGCAAGGAGACCTCACCAAACAGGACTGAAACTACACAGTGGAAAACACTGGAAGAGACAAGGGAGAGCAGGCAGCATGACCACCGTCAGAGGGTCGTGCTATCAGCAGTGGCTGCAGGTGTGTGTGTCTAAGGCTTCTGGGATGCTACTTTACCTTTCCATTGAGCAAATAGGTGGCAGGCTGCATTATGTTCATCAAGACTCCCACTGGACTCCAGCTGAATTTATATCGCAAAGGATTGTCTGAATGTTCAGGGGCTGGAAGCCCGCCACAGTAGGAAATGTAAGACTCGATCTGTAGATTAAAGAACAAATTACAAAGAATTGATAATGCTAGGAAGGACAGTTATACACATTATAAACTGAGGTCAATGGCATGAAAGGGTAAATATTCTTTCATTTTTTAATTTTTTTAAACGATTGAGGCCTTCAAATCCAATAAACATCCTCAAAGCCAAATACTGATTAACTCTATTACATTTTAAATATAAAAGAAAAAAAATCTACTAGAGAGAGTAGCTAACATTTCATTCAGTTAAAAATGCATGGGCTGGAGAGATGGCTCGGTGGTTAAGAGCACCAGCGTCTCTGTAGTGGACTTTTAAGTTCAGTTCCTAGCAGCCACCCTGTAGCTAACAGCCATCCATAACTCCAGTTCCAGGGGAATCCAAAGACCTCCTCTGATCTCTGCGGGCATTGCACTACATGGGAGCACTCACATACATGCAGGCAATACACTCATACACAAAAAAATAAAAATCATAAATACATTTTTAAAAAGTATTTTATTATTTTAGTTTTATGTGTATGAGTGTATTGCCTGCATGTATGTGAGTGCACCTGTGTCACTCAGTGCCGCAAAGGTCAGAAGAGGCTTCGGATTCCCCTGGAACTGGAGTTAAGGACGGTTCGTAGCTGCCATGTGGGTGCTGGGAATCAAACCCGGGTCCTCTGCAAGAGCAGTCAGTGCTCTTAACCGCTGAGCCATCTCTCCAGCCCCTACAATTTTTAAAATTCAACTATTAGTTCTTTGCTTGGTCAGTAGGTACTGACTTTTTAATTTAAATATATACATGTGACTGTGTATATATACAAAAAAATAAATCATTTCATTTGAATGATCACATTTATATATCCAATAATTCTTTGTCATGTGTAAATGCTTCATTTACCAACAGATTGAGATTCCAAAGATGGTTTTCTCAGTTTTAAATATAAAACCTTATTAAAGAATCTCCAAGACAAAAATATTAAACAAGAAAATTGTTTAATATTGCATCTATTTCTCTAAAAATTAGTTATTGTTTTACTCTACAGATGTATCAGCAGTTACACGCATTTTTTACAATTCCTAGTCAAAGGATGAAACATCACTAATCAAAGTCAAAGGAAGGTCAAGGGTCTAGATCCTTTAATGCTTTTGTGATAGAATTTTGCATATGCACTGTGCTCACTGTGGCTCCTGTTTCTTTTGCCTTATCAATTGTGTCCATTGCCAACATGTGATCAAGACCGGGGTCTAATCCTAATTCACCAATGACTGTGATGCCAGCATCTTCCACACTGTCACAGGGGGGAAGAAGAAAATGAACGTTAGATATAAAAGAGACACAATGCTGTGGAGGCACTTGTTTGATTAGAAATGACGAAGACTTACCTCTTTTCTAATTCCTTCAGCGCCGGTGTGATGTAGCTTGCAGTGACCATGTTAACTTTGTTTGCAATGCATGTCTTGGCCACAACAGGATGCAACACATAAGGCAACAAGCTTAAAACAGAGATAGAAATTATTAAAAATTTGGGTTCCAAACTTCCCTTCCACATACTTGAAAGAACTATCCTCAGTCCTAAAGAACTACCCAAATTAAAAAATTCTCAGAAATGATCAAGGACTCCTTGTGAACTGCAGAACAAATTCATCCCACCTGTCACACAATGGCCCTCACTAATACGTTCCATCTTTTTTAATTTTTCTTTTTAATTTTTTTATACTCATTTATTTATTTATGGGGATGTGTCACACAGCACATGTCAAGCACACACATGAAAGTCTGAGAACAACCAGCAGGCACCAGTTCTCTCCTTCTACAACAGGGTCTCAGAAAATCAAGCTCACATCGTTAGGTTTGGTAGCAAGCACCCTTATGGACTGAGCCATCTCACTGGCTCTCCGTCTCTTTGCTTCGGTATGTTCATAAACCTACGAGGGATCAAAGAAGCCCATGAATTCTCTGCTCAAAGCCTTTCCTTTCTCCATTCCAGCTCTGTCCTGACTGTTCCTTCCATCTGGAATGCCTGTCATACTTATCAACCCCACCCCAGTCACATCATTCCTTAAAAAGTTCTCCCAAAGTCATCTTCCTCCAAGGAGTTTTGTCATATTTTCCCAAAGCCAAATCTCCTTCAAGTGCATCTGATTTCTTCATAACATTTAATGGAACACATTGCACTCACTCTGATATTTCTAAGGTTTTCTATTTTGGGTTCTCTCCTAGGTAATATAATTCCCATTCTTTATATATTAAGCCAAAATACTAGAGGAGTTCCAAATCCTACTATATTATGTTGTATTATATAGCCATGTCCCAAATGGCTACCAGGAACCAGGTAGTCCATGTGTCATAGCAAAGAGTAAATGCTCAGAAATGACACAAGCTTCAGTAGCATGCAGATCAGTGAAAAGGTTATCAGCATGGGTCAAAAGTAAACACAGTGAATGACAAATGAAGACGGTCTCAAAACTTAACTTTGTGGTTTCTACAAATCTGCTTTTACTATTTAAACCTGGTGTTGAGGGTTGGAGAGGCGGCTCGGGGGTTAGAAGCACTGGCTGCAGTGGACCTGAGTTCACTCTTAGCATCCACCTGGTGGCTAATAGCCACTTATAACTCCAGTTCCAGGGGATCTGACACACACACACTTCTGTCTCCACAAGCGTTGTATGACATGAATGCACTTACATACATGGAGGCAAAACACTCATGCACATAAAATAAAAATAAATAAAACAAAAAAATTAAATCTGGTGTTAAGACACTCAGTCATAAACAAGCAATTTCACAGATGTTTCTGTAAGTAGGATGTCCATATTCTATGCAGGAATAAAAAGTCACCTTGCCAATTGTGTAAGAAAATTATATTCTACTAGATTACTGTCCACTCGGTAATACATTCCTCGTAATGCCAATGTAAAACAAATGCCGACATATCAACAATATCACATATGTCAACATACTTGTCATTCACCCTGTATACTTTAGATTTTCTCTGTTCTACACAAAACAAAATAAAACAATAAAACCATAAACCACTACTCAGGCACTTATTCCTCCTCAGATCAATAGAAAGGGAATTGCTGTTTAGATTTACTGTTGAGGTAGAATACAATTGTATATGTATTTTTTCAGTATCAAAAACTCTTATGAAAGCTCTTAATTCTGATTTTTTGAACATTTTTTCACCAAGAAGAATTGTTATCAAAGTTGATAGCTTTTAAGAAGTCAATATATGAATATGCATAAAACTGTTTAGAATTAAATTATTAATACAAAATGTACAGTGGTACCATTTAAAGGGTTAAATGGATTTCTGTTATCCACACACAGAAAACTTGAGTTAGTTATCCTTTAAGACTTCGGCATTATCTACACTAGCCTAGTGAGATGCTGAGAACCAGAATGGCAGGGCTTTGACTAATAATTCTCTTTTTAGATAAAGGGATTAGAGTTCATCATTCTTCTACAATGTGCTCATCCGGATATAATTCTTGAAGTATTTAAGTGGACTCCATCCCAATAAATCCTGTATTAAAAACGTCACTTGTGAAAAACACACTGAAAGTAAAAATGGAATTTTCAAGGAAAGCAAAATAAATTAATGCTTCACATTAAATTGTCAGAACCTAAAATTAGGGGAAAAAAAGTTCAGGCCACTTGCATTTGATATACTACCCTAAAGTTTCTGTAAAGTGCATTCTCCACTCTTGTTTTTAATGTCTAGTGTTGTAGTTATACCAAAATATATTTCTTCAACTTCAAAAAGTAAAAACAATATTTACAGAACATTATCAAATGCTCAATGGCATTACCACTACTGGACATGTGAATTCCACCAAAGGGGGAAAAATGGATCAAAAATCAATTTTGCTAAGTCTCAATCTTCTTGAAAGCCATCACTTTTCTAAACTTAAATCTTGCTCATGTCATGACTGCCTTTGTTCATAATCTTGTTATATTTTACTCCAAATTTCATTCAAAATGTGAATTTTGTTTTGTTTTGGCTTGGTTTGGGTTTTTTAAACAAAGTCTTACACTGTAGTCAGAGCTAACTTAAGTCACTGTGTAGCCGGGGTAGCCTTGAACTCATGCTGATCCTTCTACTTTAGCTTTGGATTAAAGACATGAGCAGCACACCAGGCTCCCCATGTATTTTTAACATGATTTTTTTTTGTTTTATCAAAATTGACACATTTAAATATCTACTTACAATAGAAATAAATAATTTTTTTCATTCAGATAAAGGCTAGAATATCTGATTCCTCTGCATAGTCACAGGACTTCCAGACAAGATCTTTTATCACTAGTCAAATTTTGCTTAACAAAAATTGATGCACATAAAATTCTTTTCAGTTGAGGGACTTTTTTAATGAAGGCAGTCTAAATGAGAATCTATGAATGATTCAATTACATAAACTTTGAAAATATGCAAAAGCTAATATAGATGTTATAAGAAAGAACAGTGTTTACTTGAGGAGACAGGGTCAGCAAACAGGAAGAGGACTTCTGGGGACTTTCCCACAATGCTTCTTGATGTGGATGGTGGTTATAAAACATGTTCATTTTGTAGGAAGTTATTGAGCAACATAATTAGGGACTGTGTGTGTGTGTGTGTGTGTGTGTGCGTGTGTGTGCATGTGTGTGTGTTGATGGTATCGGCATTTAGCCCAGGCTGCCCTCAAACTTACCTTGGTTTCGTAAGTGCTGAGATTTAAGGGCATGTACTCTTTGGACTTTTGTAGATATATACTTCAATTAAATGTTCATGAGACAGGAGAAGACAGAGAGGGAGGAGGAAAGAATCACAAAGAGACAAGAGAAGACAAATAAGAGCAAAATGCACGTGGAACTTGCTCTTGTCAAGTACCTGATGACAAGGTCCTGCGATGCCACCAAGGACCCCAGCTTCTCTTCTTGTGTACCAATGGTCATGCTGACAGGGTTGATATTATACTTCTTGCTTAACTGTTGGATTTGATTCATCATGTCAGAGCCTATTTCAAGGATACAGAATTCAAATTTTAAGATTTCCTTCTAGACATATAGTAATACTCATTTCCACATCTCCAAGAAACAACTTTTCAAAACTTAGAGGTCATCTAAAATTTACAGGTTCAACATGCTATGAAATTAATTTGTCTTCTTCTTTAAAAAAAAATCATGACTTACTCAGGAGGTAGAGGCTGGTGGATTTCTGTGAGATTGAGACCAACCTGGCTTACATTGTGAGCTCCAGGCTGGCTGGGAAGACCTGCCTCAAAAAAAGGCAAATAATAATAATAAAAAAAAATATGACATATTTACCTACTGTTATTTCTATATTGTGGTCTCTTGACAGATATTCTAAAACAGGTCCAGATACATAGCCAGACCCAAGAACCAAAACTTTCTTCTTGGTACTCATTGAAAGTGATTGTACACGTTCTCTGTTTAAAAAAGAGGGAGAAATTTTATTCATTTAAATAACAGAATCTTGCTAGCCTCAATAAGACACAAACCTAGATGAGGGGGTAAGAAAAATCTCCTTATATTGCTTCCAATAAAAACTTCAATAGGAATTCTATAGGCCAAGACCTTTCATTGTTTGTTTCAGATGTTGTACAGTAAAGAACCACATTTCCTGGCATCTCTGAGATGCCTGATGTCCCTAGACTTCCATGAATTCCCAGTTCCATAATGAGAATTGGACTAGTTTTTGTTTACTTACAACTAAGTAACTTGGCTTCATAGTTTATCCTCCCAGAGGACATGATTCAAAATTATGTTGGGTCTGTGTGCTGGAAGCCTTAATTTTTCTTACTCAGAGCAGTCCAGATAACCTGAGTAAGAGATGACCATTATCCACATTAAAAACTGTTTTGTCACGTATCTTTAGAGTGACATGAGAACAGCCTAAACTGTCACTTGGTTAAGCATAGATACTTAAAACCAGTACTCACAAGAATTCTAATTCTTTTTTTTTTTCAGTATTTTATTTTCTTGTTCATTTGTTTTATATGTATGAGTGTTATGCCTACATATAGGTAAGTGCACCCATGTCATGCAATGTCTGTGGAGATCAGAAGCAGGCATTGGATTCCCTGGAACTGGAGTTACAGGCAATTGTTAACTGCCATGTGGTGCTAGGAATCAAACCCAGGTCCTCTGCAAGAGCAGCCAGTGCTCTTAACTGCTGAGCTCTCACCAGCTCCAGGATTCTAATTCTTAACATCTTTATTCTACTAAAAGGTGTACTTTCTAGAATGAAATGACTTTCATTCTGACAAACTATGATCTTCAAGGTAGTGACTGAGTTTTACTTAACTGTAAGCCCATTAATTTTTAGTACATATTGTTTGGAATGTGAAAGTTACTTATCAAATGCTTTTTAATAAAATTCTCAGTTGTCAGCATGGAACCATGGAAATGGCCTGGGACCAGGAACTTAGCAGAAAGATCTATTGGAATCTGTAGGATGTCACTCAAACTGCAACCCACCAACATTTTCATTAATAGGTAAATGAACATAAATATAAAATGTTCCTACCCCTCTTCACCCAGTAACACATGCATATTACTGATCGCTAATCTCCTTTAAGCACTACCCTCTTCCTATTTCACCTCCAAAAGAATCACTGTTATCTGGTTAGTATACATTCTTTCTAACAACACCTTCTATTGGCTATATAAATTAAATATTATTTTGGTGTACAAATATAAACTGTTCAAAATATATGTTTAAAAATCTACTCCTGCTGGGCGTGGTGGTGCATGCCTTTAATCCCAGCACTCAGGAAACAGAGGCAGGCGGATCTCTATGAGTTTGAGGCCAGCCTGGTCTCCATAGTGAATCCAGGACAGCTGGGGCTACAAGGAGACCCTGTCTCAAAAGACAAAAAAAAAAAAAAATCTACTCCTGGTACTGGAGAGATGGCTCAGCGGTTAAGAGCACCGACTGCTCTTGCAGAGGACCCGGGTTCGATTCCCAGCACCCACATGGCAGCTACTAACCGTCCTTAACTCCAGTTCCAGGGGAATCCGAAGCCCTCTTCTGACCTCCATGGCATTGCACGACATGGGTGCACTCACATACACACAGGCAATACACTCATACACATAAAAAATAAAAATAATAAATAAAATATAAAAAAATCTACTCCTAGGTTCCAATCATGTCCACATCATCAGAAAGCAAAACCACAGAATCCAGGTTAAAAATCACTGTGATATGTGATAAAAAGAACATAAGAATAAGGCAGAACTTAATCTCATGTCCTTTCGAGGTTCAGTCCCCATTATCAGGCACTTGGCATATGAGTACATGAGGAAGGAAAGTCCCAGAAACTGAGTCAAGCAGACCAGCTGCTGCATGAACCATGGTGCACAAGCTGAAGAAATGGCTCTGACTGGTCATGTCAGACACATCATTATTGTCAATAAGAGATCATCAGACAGTAAGAACAAATAGAATTATGAATAACAAGCAAACATGAAGCTTCCCTTATAGGAAACTCTCCTGTGGTAATGTACAGCTAGTTTATGCTTAGAAACTTAAATATTCAGTATTTTATGGCAGAATATTCCATTGCCATGCTAAATACAGTAGTTCTAAGCAAACTAACATGTAAAAATAAGGTGTATCTGAAATAAATGATCTGGCCACATCCCTCTATTTCTTTCTTGTAGGAAGAGCCACTGCAAAAGAAATTATTTTTAGAAATCACTCAGCACTTAAGAGCATGTACTGCTCCTGCAGGGGACCCAAGTTCAATTCCCAGCATCCGTATAGGCAGCTTGCAACTGCCTGTAACTCCAGCTCCAGGGCTCCAAGGCACTCTGCTGGCTTGTGTGGGTACTGCAGTCACGTGCAAAAACCCCCACACAGAGACACACAAATATACACACAACTTTAAAAATATAATCAAATGAAAGATTTTTTTAAGAAAAATAATTCAGTTCATGTGCTATTTTGTAAAATGGGAATAGACCAACAGAGTAGGCTTAAACACAGATCAAGTGAAATCATTTGGAGGAAACCAGAATATTCCAAAGAAATGTCAATATTTCCAGACTCTGAGCAGTAAAATCAGTTAGGAAGCGGAACCTTGGCTGAGCCTAGCTGTAAGAGCCCTGTCCTATTGGGGCGACTCCAGGCTACTTTGGGACACCTTCCTCTTACTGTCATTTGTCTTTTTCACTAATTATATTCATTTCTATCCATGATCCCACTTTTTCAAACATACTAAATGAAATTCCAAACCTTCAACAAAAACCCAAGCAGAAAGCACTGCACAGAGGGTTACTATGCTCATTTCTTTAAGAAATTTACTTCAACTATAGTGTGCAAAATGTTAAAAATACATAATAAATAATAAATAAAAGAGCTACTCAAATAATAACATTATTTTACTTTTGCTCTGCTACATACAAGTCCACACAGGCTATTAAATAGTCAAAGGATGCCATACTGCTCTTCAAGGGAAAAAATAACTCATGTTACTTTCAGCTACTCACTCAGTTTTGATTTCTGACATTACCAAGATATGAATGTTATATAAATCCAATATCAACAACTCTTGTTGAAACCTTTAAATATACCCATTAAACCCAACATAAGAAAAAGTATATAAAACAAGATTTTAACAGTACCTACCTGCTTTCTCGGAGTTTCTGGATGTATTTGAATTTATCGGTTAAAATACCATTGGACGTAATCACTGCCTAAATATAGACACACAAGACATTTCTTTAGTATCCAACATTTTAGATCTACAAATAGGAAATAATGGCTGACAGGGAAGAGACAGAATGACAGAGATAGGGCTGGAGGAGATGGGAAAGAAGGAAGAAATGGGAAGAGGGAGGGGGAGGGAGGTAGGGGAGGAGGGAAGGAAGAATGGAGAGAGAAAAACACATAAGGGAAAGAGGAGAATAAGGGAGGATGGTAAGAAAAATTGCAATCATGGGAAGAAATTCTCACAACTTACATCTCTCACCACCGGAGAGAAGTTCTGACTTTCCAGAGGTTGTGAAGCATCTGATAACAACTACAAGGAAAAAGGGATTACAAAGAGATAAATGACATTGCAACAGCATATTGGAGATTTATAACCACATCAAAATGTTTGTTAATTTCTGAATATGACTGAATATAAATTATTGGTAATAGAAACACATAGACAATTAATCCTAGTCCCAGGAATATGGTGTTTCAGTCCAGGCTCCAATTTTTAAAACTAAAAGTTGACTATAGTCATCTTTGCTTGCTAAGAACATGCAAAAGGTTTTTCACAAGCAGTTAGAGGTTTCGTATTGAGCATGTTATAAATTCCCCAAGCATTGTAGTCACAGTCTTCCCTCTAAGAGCCTTTGTTTCATCCCAGAAGTTGAAGCTCTTCCATGAGAGATAGACAAACCCACCAACCCTGAAGCAGAGGTTACTCTTTGGCCAATATTGGCTTTATTTATGGGCACATCAGCATTTCAAAAGTCATATGGATAATGACTTGACCTAGTAGACTTCAAAAAGTTATCTGCAATCTCTGCCCATATCTTGCAAGACTGAATCAGATAGACTTTGACTAAAGACACATCTCTTAATATTGACATCTGAGTAGTCACACACACACACACACACACACACACACACACCTCAAGATACCAAATTTTAACAGTAAAAGGCTTATCAGTCAGTGTTGTTACCTCTGATAATAAGGGAAGGAACAATAGTTTTCTCTCCCAATCTTCAGTTAAGTTCTAGAACATTTACCCAACTACAAAACAGAATTTACCTAAAAGATGCTAGAATCAGAGAATATATTTAGTATATTAAAATAAACATAAATTACTTTCATGTATCTGAAGGAGATAGTCCATAAATATCTATATTGAATTCAACTAAAGTGAAACTTCCATTTGGCTCCCAATTAATACCCAGTACCCTGCAATACCACACACTCTAGATGAACTCTAAATTTAAAAGGAGAAAACAGGAGAGACTAGGGCAATACACTCACTCTAAATCTACTTCTTGATATGGCTTAAAGGTAAAATGTCCCCCACAGCTCATGTATTTGAACACTTGGTTGGCTCCCAGTTGGAAGCAGTGTTTTGGAAGATTGTGGAATTGCCTTTGTGGGTGCCTAGCTGTAGACAGTGGGTCATTGGAGGATGAGCCTTGAGGCTTACAACCTAGCTTTGCTTCCAATCTTCTCTGCTTCCTGACTGTCTAAAATGTGATCAAGTAGCCTAATGATCCTGTCACCACAGCTGAGGGCTGATCCTTCTGCTATGTGCCAAAATAAACCTTTCCTCTTTTAGTTGCTTTTTATTAAGTATTATGTCACATCAATGAGAAAAATAATACAGAAAATTGATAGAGAGAAACTGGACTATTGCCATGATAAACAGAGCTATGTGGTTCATAATCCTTTGGAGCAAATTTATTGGAGAAATATGGAAAAGTTTGAAGCTACTGACTACAGAAGCCCTAGAATATCACAAGCAAAGCTTAATAGGCCATTCTTATAGGGGTCTGAAAGAACAAAATGCCAATAGGAATGCACATAGTAAAGGCTGAGCTCATGAAGTTTCAGAATAGAACTCTGTCAGAAATTGGACTAGAAGCTGTTCATGTTTCATTCTGATTAAGTATCTGGCTGTGCTCTGCTCATATCCATCAAACTTAAGTGAGACTGAGTTAAAAAAGAGTGGACTAATTTGTTCAGTGAAGAAAACGTAGTATAACATCCAGAGTGTAGCATGGTTATTGCTCACTCTGTTTACCCAGATGTACAGAGAGACTGAGCAAACATGGAACAAAAGGATATGGAAAAACATGTCAAACTGCATGGAAAGGAGTATGAAACCTGACTAAGATTGCAGACGGAAATGTACAGTTTGGTAAGAAAACAAGCTGGAATCCAGATGAGCCAAGGGCAGATATGGACAAAGTAACTAGTTGTTACAGATTAGTTTCAGGACTTTGCAGTGGAACAATAGGAAAGGTACCATGAGTGGAAGACGCCACTCGCTGAGCACTCCAGTCAGTAACAATGCACTGACAGCTGCAGTGCATAAGAATATAAATTACAAAATAGAGCCTTCTAGGCACCCTGTTGGAAAACATGAGCCCAGGGAAGTGTTTCCTTAAGATTAGTCATGAAGGTAACAAGGCCACTGCAGCTGTGGTCCAGACGCCAGACTATGTCTTGAGCTGGCAGCACAACTTGGCCTTGTGCCTTTAGTGACAGTTTATCAACATGCAAAATATGAGTTATGGGGCTGTTAGGGCTTACACCACCTTTCCAGAAAGTTGGTAAAACCATGCAACATGTAGCAAAGGTCAACTTCCCTGCATGAAACTCCCACGTGGGTTTTACATGAAACAGTGACAGTGAAGCCTAAGGTGCGTTGGATACACCAGGATATTTAAGTGCCAGAAATGTGAGATGTCTGTGAGGAAAGCTGTAGGCACTGAGGAGAGCTGACCAAAGAGAGAGGCCATGTGCTCTTGCTTCAGTCAAATCTGTCCTCACATTCCAGTCCTCTGATTTGGAATGGGAATACTTATTCTATGCCATTGTGTACTGGAACTAAGTAACTTTTTTTTTTTTTTAAATAGGGGCTTACAATTAAGACACTGCCTTAAGTCTCAGAAGAGACTGAGAGTTTCAAAGCAAATTAAGTATGTCAAGACTATAGTCTATAGGGACTTTTAAAGTTGGACTGAATGCACTTTGAATTATGAGATTGTCCAGGCCAGCAAGATAGGTCAGCAGGTAAGATATTTGTTGCCAAGTCTGGTGATCTGAATTTGAGTATCAGATACCTTATGGTAAGAGAGAATAGATTCCGGTGACTTGTCCTTTTAACTCCACCTGTGTACTGTCACGTGCGTGCGCGCACACACATACACACACACACACACACATACACACAAATTAATGAATGTAATTTTAAAATTAAAATAGTATAAACAGCTATAAGTCTGTAAGGACCAAGAGCAGAATGTTAGAATTTGAATTAAAACGTTCCCCACAGCTCATGTACTTCAATATTTGGTCCTTAGCTGGTAGGATGTTTGGGGAAGTTGTGGAACCTTTAGATGGGGCCTAGCTAGAGGAACTGGATCACTGTGTGATGGGTCTTGAGGCATTTTATTGCCTGGCCCTGCTTTCTGCCTTCTTCCTGAACCACCCAGATGTGAGCAGGCAGCCTCATGCTACAGCCAAAAGATGCTCCTATGGTCACTTTCCCCATCATGATGAACTGCACCATCAAATCATGAGCCAAAATAAACCCTTCCTCCTTACATTGCTTCCTATGAGGGATCTGGTCATAGCAAAAAGAAATTTACTAACACAATTCCCATACAGTTGTCAGAAGAAGATGCAGATGATAGACTTAATTTTTCAGTGCTAATGAACTGTACATATATAAAGGCTTTGAAATAGATACAGTCTCTGTATTTCACAGATGGCCAGTGCTTAAATAAAAAGATAAACAACATATTACTACTGTTTGGAGAACTACAGTGATATTAAATATTGAGAACTTGTGTATGATTTGGAAAAGCTGAAAAGTCAGTCACGAGACAGTCACACAATATAATCTGCTTTGTAGCACCAAAAATCTTCATCTTACTGCCTTAAATGTCTAGCCTTGATAACAGTGACTAACATTCTATCAACTACTAGATTTTTAAAAACACAAATACATTTTAAAATGTACATTTTCCATTTCACAATGGTGACCACCTGATTCCAAACAAATCCTTCTACTCACTAAAACCAAGTAAAACATAAAACAGTGTTGAAGACTTATTGTACCCTAACTCTCTAGATGGAAACCCAGAATGATAAGCATCAACTACATTTGCCAATAAAAAATCACTGTCTGAGGTACTAAGTGGCTGAATAGAAGGCATCAGAGGTTAAGAGCTGAGAAGAACTTTGGGATGATTTTAACAATCCAAAAATATTTGGAGTCTCAAGTCATCTCTAAAATTTTACATTTGTCATTTTGACATCAAGAAAAAGTCAATAGGCATATTAAATAAGAACTGACTGAAAAACAGGAGATGCAAAACAGTATTGAACAGATCTCAAAAGCATATTGGAATTTTCTGAGACTAGTCTAAGCTATAACTAAAATGTTCAAAAGACAAATAGATTAGGGGCTGGAGAGATGGCTCAGCAATTAAGAGCACTGGGTACTCTTGCAGAACCCACATGGCAGCTAACAACCATCCTAACTTCAGTTCCAGAGGATTCAATGCCCTTTTCTAACTTCCATGGGCATTGCACGACATGGGTGTACTAACATACCTGCAGGCAATATACTCATATACAGAAAATAAAAATAATAAATAAAATATTTTATAAAATAAACATTAGCTTCAAAGGAAAAAACCAAATTTAAAAAATAATTCAATGAAAAATTTTGATAAATGTAAAATAAGTGCCATTTGGGAAGTAGGTATATAGATGAATAAGATTGTTTGGGATGTTTTATGTGATATACACACATAAAATCAACAAATAAAAAAATGACTTATATTTGAAAAAATTACTGAAGTTAAAAGATTCAGTGAATGAGCGAGTAACACAGCTGAAGGAAAGATTAACAAACTGGTATATAAAACAAAAACAAGAAAATATAGCGCTAAATAATATAAAGACTTTACTTAATTGATGTATATAGAGCACTTATATCCAGAGAAAATGAAGTACACATTGTTCTCAACTATTCACAAAAAAATATTCCCTAAACTTTCCACATATGGAGTTACAAAACAAACTTGAACAACAACGAAAGGGCTGACAATGTGCATATTTTAGGACTATGTGTGTAGCCGTGGGATTGAGGAAATAGTTCAGTGGATAAAGCACTTGCCATGCAAGTGTGAGACCCAAGTTCAGATCCCAGAACCCAAGTGGAAATCAGAAAGGTGTGTTGGCCTGAAATCCCAGCACTCAGAAGGCAGTGACAGGGGATCTCCAGGGCAAACTGGGGAGTTAGACTAGCTGGTGGGAGAACTTTGGGCTCAATTGGGAGACTCTGCTTCTGTAAATAAAGCAAGGAGGGAGTTACTGAAAATACCTGACAGGTGCCCCATGGATGCTCACACATATGCACATGCACATTCATGCACACATATTCGAACACATACATACACCACAGACACAGAGACATACAAAGGCATAAAGACACATATACATGCAAGCACAGACATACATACAGACATGCAAAAAAAGGTATGCATTACTAAAAAACTGAAAATTAATTGCCTACGTATTCTAAAAGTTGGGAAAGAACGGCAAACTGAGCTCCCAATAAAATAAGACAATAATAAAGGTAAGTGAGCAGAAATTAATGAAATGGAAGATGATGTAACACCAAGAGGATCACCAAAACTGGTTCTTTAAGATGAATAATAAATAAATTCTAGATAAAGATATTCAAAGTAAAAAAGGCAGAGACAACGAACATTGGTTTTGAAAAGAAGGAAAACACAACAGAGTCTAGTAAAGAAATAGTGAGGGCATTGTTTTGAAAATGCAATGACAA